GCGTAGTACGCGTATATCTGTTAGAAACACCCATATATGCGCTTTTATATCAAGGTCAGAATGCAATCTCCCCGACCGTTGTTCCCACTGTGGTAACATCGGTCTCGACAACAGTCAGCCACAATGCATTTCAGTCGAGACCGCGCAACACATCCCGCGAGAGTATAAAGGGGGATCTCCCCGGTGTCATGCGATCCTCTTCCCCGTCTTCACTATGCCCGGACTCCACTACTCCACCCCCCGCGTCGCCACTCCGAACCGCTTCGCCGCACTCGATCAAACAGAGGACGAGGGCGAAGACACTTCTTTCCCGGAGCACCAACAGCTGCTACACCCTGGCGCCATCTTGGCGAGGCGCCGTGTCCCGGAGCTGGAGAGGTTGATCGATCTGCGTAAGAAGGTACGTCCGATGATCTCTCTCAAGCGCGCCTGGTTGCGAGCGTCGGAACAGGGCTGGGACAACGATCGGCTCGATGGTTATTTCGAGGGGAAGCGCTCAGCTAAGGCGGCGGACGAAGACACCTCCTTCGTCTGGTTCAAGAAGATGACGTCTGTCATGAAGGAAGTCGACCACGCCAGCGGTCAGCTCATTCCCTCCTGGGGACACTTCACCTTCCTCGACATCGGGTGAGTGTATGCTCTCCAACTCGTCTCCCCATCCCTACAGCACATGCTCATGCATCCCACCAGCTGCGCCCCCGGCGGGTTCAGTTCGTACATCCTCCGCAAGAACCGCAACGCGCTCGGGAACGGAATCACCCTCCCCGTCTCCCAGGGCGGGCCCCCGATGCAGCTCGAGGAGCAGTTCCACCAGCGCTACCGCCTCATCGAGCAGGACGTCCTCGAGCTCGACCTCTCCCTCGGGCGCACACCCCTCCCTGCCCCGCTCGACCCTGTCCCAGTCTTCCTCCACAACCACTTCAACCTCGTCCTCATCGACGGGCACACCCCCCACTCCTACCAGCCTCGTACCCGCGGCCCCACCCCCTCCCCTTCCTCGCCCCAGTCCTCTCCCGCAGTAGACCCCCGCGCAGAAGACCCTCCGCGCGCGTCCCACGACGCCCTCCTCCTCTCCTCCCTCCTCCTCGCGCTCGACTCGCTCCGCCACGGCGGGACGCTCGTGCTCAAGCTCACGCACGCCGAGCGCCCGCCCGCCCCCAGCTCCTCTTCCTCCTCGACCGCCTCGCGGACCAGCTCGTCGTGCACAAGCCGCGCGCGCTGCACACGACCCGCGCGTGCTTCTACGCGGTCGCGCGCGGGGTGCGCCTCAACCGCGCGCGCGACGGGTGGATACGCGCGCTGCGCGGGGTGTGGCACTATGTCCGCTTCGACGGCGCGGACCGCGGGAGCAGGGCGATGGGGGAGGGCGAGCTGGACTGCATCGTGGGGGCGGGCGAGGTGCTCGGGCGGTGGATCGACCGGTGGGTGACGCTCGCCGGACCGGTGTGGAGCGAGCAGGCGGACGCGCTCGCCCGGTTCTTCGCGGCGAAGGGGATGTGCTCTAGCCAGACGCTGGCAACTGCCGTCGTTACTCGTATCGTACAAGCCACATCTTTATCTGTCCTCTTACTTCGCCGCTCCAGTTGTGCACTTGATACCACCTGCGCTCAATTATCCTCGTCGAGCGCGTCGCGCTCCTGCAAGAACTGCCGCGAACGCTCTTTTGCCTCTTCGCTCACGTTCGGGTCTGCGACCACGCGCGCAAGGTCAGACGCCGTTGTTATAGCGCAGCGAGAAGAGGCATTCCAACTCACTCTTCAACGTAGCCTTGTGCCCGGCGTCGACGCGCGTGTCATCCTTGTCGTCCTCGTAGCCCTCGCGCGTCGCCGAGAGCTCGGGATCGTGTTCGAGCTCCTCTATCATCTGGCGCGAGTGCTCCTTGGCCTCCTCGGACACGTTCGGGTTGTTGATCGCGGCCTGCAACGGACCACCGTGAGTAAACGCCGAATTGGAGACGGACAGACGTACCTTGTGACCACCAAGTTGACGGGTTGGGAGAGACATGGTGAATGGTTGCGGTTGAAATGTCGGTTTGAGTGGAGAGGTCACGGCGTCCCGCTTATATGCGTCTCTCTCGCAGGGCTATGACGCAACGCGTAGGCGGGACATGACGATGGCCCGAGGCGACGATCGCGCGGGATGACGCACGAAGAAACACTGCAGGAATCTGTATGGAGCCTATATGATACATTCCGTGTGTTACATTAATTGTACATCCATTCATGAAGATCGCAAACAGCAGACACGACGAGCAGTATGGCATGACGTTATTGGCGTCGAGCGCGCGCGCCTACACCTTCATGTCTGATCCTGCGTCAGCATCGTGGACGTCGTTGCCGAGCGCTGGGCGAGCGGGAAGGACAGTGAGCACGTGCGCGGCGAGCGAAGGGGGCAGAGTCATGCGTACCGCGCTCCTGCGCTGCGATATCCTCGCGGCGCTTGTCTGCCTGCACTGCACCGAAGATGATGTCCATCTCTTCGAGACTGCGGCCCTTCGTCTCCGGAATGAGCCTGGATACACGCGTCAGCATACGAACGACAACGGAACAGGAAGAGGAGGTCGCGCACAGGGAGAAGACCGCCATGCCGCCGATGTTGATCGTCGCGAACATGAGGAAGAGCTTGTAGCCGAGCGCCGACTCGAGCGTTGGCGTCACCTTTGCGACGACGAAGTCTGCGAAACAATACGTAAGCAAACCGATTCGTTGCGTGAGGGAGGAGGAGACGCACTGAAGAGCCACTGCGAAGCACTGGCAGTCGCGAGACCGTAGTGCCGGGTCCTCGTCGGGAAGATGTCCGAGACGTACACCCATCTGCGCCACGACATCAGGGCGATGACGGCGTCTGGCACATTGGCAGCACTCACGGAAGGGGACCCCATCCCATGGAGTAGAAGCACACGTAGAGATACAGCATCGCAGCCATCGCCTTGCTCGCCGGCGGAGGGTTGCCGGTTGGCTTCTGTGGTGGTGGAAACTCCTTAAGGAGCGCACCGACGATGAAGAACAGGATGCCCATGCCCATCCCAGAGATGAACAGGGAGAACTTGCGTCCCAGCGAGTCGACGAGGAAGAAGACGAAGAGCGCGGTGGCGACGACCTTCACGATGCCGTAGATCCCCGACGCGAGCAGCGAGTTCGTCGTCCCCGTGTACCCGATCTGTCCGTCCACAGGTCAGCATGACGCGCATAAAGCCACCTCGAAAGCCACGCACCGCGGTGAAGATCTGAGGAGCGTAGTATCCCACCGAGTTCTGCCCGCTCCACTGCTGCAGCAGGAATATGACGATCGCGATCACGAACCGGATCCAGTTGCCCTTGCCCAGGAACGCCTCGCGCGTGCCAAGGCCCTCGCGCGCCTCCTTCTCCTCCGTGATCGCGGCCTCGATTTCCGCCATCTCGGAGCGCACCTCGGGCGCGTCCGTGGGGCGGCGGCGGAGGTACGCCAGGTTGGCGATCGCCTCGTCCAGGCGTCCCTTGGACGCGAGCCAGCGCGGGGACTCGCGCACGGTGAGCAGACCAAAGGCCATGATGCCCGCGGGGACGAGCTGGAAGCCGAAGGGGATGCGCCAGACGGCGAAGCCGGTCTTGACGTGCAGACTGATCCCGACTAGAGCGCGCCGGGGTTATGTCAGACGGCGCGAAAGCGGGGAAGAAGCGCGTACGGTTGATGAAGTAGGAGAGCATGACGCCGATGGCGACCATGATCTGGAAGAGCCCGGTGATGCGGCCGCGGACCTCTTTGGGGGAGCATTCGGAGACGAAGGCGGGGGCGACGGCGGAGATCGCGCCTATGCCCAAGCCAGCGACCACGCGTCCGCCGTAGATGTACCCCAGGCCGCGCGAGCCTCCGGCTATGGTTTGTAGGATCTGTAGGGCGCACAAGTAAGGAAAGCGCACACAGGTATGGCTTAGTGGGAGGACTTACGGCACCGACGGAGAAGACGAGCGTCCAGATGAGCAGCGACCATCTTCTTCCAATCGCAGCTGTGGACCACATGAGATCCCGCCCACTACTTGCGCCTTACACCGGGTGAATAGGCGTAGTTTCGAAATATTACAGTGGCGCCTTCGAGGTGCAGGTCGCTACCGCTCAACCTCATTCACTGCATGCAAGAGGGTGCTGGTCCGAGGGCGGAACAGATCGCCTAGCCGCATTTAGCCAGATCATCTAGCCCATGTATTGCACAGCGTAGGCGGCTTATCTTTATCTCTCACTGGTCATGACTGGTCATGTGTAACCGGAGAGTGGGCTAGGGGACAATCCCGTAGCCCACCCTCTGGCTGGTTATGTCTAGTTGTCCCCGTCCCCGTCTATATCGTCTGGACAGACGCCCCGTTTAAGGCATCTAGCCCGCTTGCATACAGTGATTGAGAATATGCGCGCAGATGCACCGCTACCGGCCTGCTGAGCGCACGCCGCTGGTGGGGTAGATGGGTACGAGCTCCGCCCGAACCACGGTCCACCTGCTGCCCGATAACTCGAAACCAGGGCCATCGCTCGACTTTGGCTGTGACTGGGGAGTGGGCGTGAACCTTGCATGGCGCCGCCCCCCACATGTTCCGACTCCCCCACATGGCGCAGGCCCGCGCGGGGTCACGAGAGCTCCGCGCGCGGGCTAAACGTTTCACGCCCCCATCCCCACCCCCACACAGTTCTCGGACCCAACGCCCCCGAGCAGCCGTCCGGCCTCCCGTGTCCTTCCTATGGGCGATGTGTATGCGGGGCAGGACGACGGGTGTGGGGTGAAGAGCAGACTCGAGGGACTCACCGGACAGGGTGCGCTGCCCAGCGCGCCGAAGAACGCGCCGGCCTGGAGGACGGAGACGACATTGGAGCTGATGGCGTTCGACTTGGCCGTGTCCTTGTCGCCGTGCTCGTTGACGATCCCAACTCTCTCTGGAAGTACGGTTGGGAGACGACCCCGCCGCCGACGCCGCTGTGGTCGAGGGCGCCGGTAAGCATGGGCGCGCGAGGTGGGGAAGGGGGCGACGCACGTATCATAGCCAAAGAGGACGATGCCCCAGTAGACGATGAATGCGAGCCCTGGGCATGGATGAGAACGAGAGGGAACAAGTAGCAGGAGAAGAGCAGGACTCACAATATACGCGGATGTTTTGAAAGGTGCCTTGGCTGCTCATGGCAAGGGAAGAGCGGGAGGACGAGGGCTAAGAGGCGGGCCAAAGGGCACGCACAGGCTTGGCGGGTCTTTTTGTAGTTGTCCGCCGCCAAAGTGGAAAGTGGGCTAGTTCGGCGAACACGCGCGGCGTAGCCGCTGGGACCCGGATATGCCATAAGGCCTGTCAGTGTCAGCGGCGATCTGTCTCCGAAACAGCCATCTATCTATCCACCACTTTCACAACATCAACGCAAACTGTCACTGTCAGCAGAACAAGGGTGAGTCCACCAACCTACAGGTGAAAAAAACTTATCGACGTTCTGTATGTCTCTCTGTCGGGGAGTCGAACCCCGCTTTCGCGCGCACACTAGCATGACAGGCGCGTGTACTAACCGATATACTAACAGAGAACTATGAAGGCAAAATTCACGGATACATAACGGTTTCTGAAGCTCTAGGCTTCCGCATGCACCGGGCCGCTGAGTGGGATTCCTCGGCGCTTATAGCCTGCGGTGTTGGCGCACTGCTGGTTGGGCTGAATTCAGGCTCCTCCTCCTCCTTCTCCTCGATCCTGATGCTGGCCAGGAGCTCTACCGACTATGCTGCAGAATGCGACTGATCCGCATTCGCTCTCCAACGCTGCTTCCCAACCCGCCTCCTCCTCCATCCAAGATCTACTTGACCGCGGTGAGCTCGTCAAGCACCGTGAGTTCTGGTTCACCGACGGCTCCCTCGTCCTCCGTGCCGACAACACCCTCTTCCGTGTCCACATCTCCCAGCTATGTCGGAAGACCGCCTTTTTCCGCGACCTCTTCGCCCTCCCCCAACCGCCCGCTGCCGCCGCCGCCGATGGCTCACATACCACAGAGGAGCGTTTTGACGGATGCCCAGTCCTCGTGCTGTACGACTCCCCGGAGGACGTAGCGAATCTAGTGAAGGTCATTTATGACGGCCCGTACGTTTGCATCTGCTTCACTCCATCCGTCCTATTTCTGCGTAGCACGAGCGCAACTCAGCTCCTCATGGGCTTGCGGATTGGAAGATCTGTTCGATAGAGCCGCGGACATGTATAGGGTTCTGACCCGTTTTCCTTCCCAGTAATTTCGGGATCAACGATCGGGATGACTTTAACGTTCTCTCCGGCGTTCTCCGTCTCTCGAGCAAGTACCTCGTCCAAGAGCCCACCCGCGCAAAGGCCCTCGCCCACATTAGCACCGCCTGGCCGTCGACGCTCAAAGCATGGGACCTACGCGAGGACCTTGCGCGGTTATATGAGGTGCAGACGGGGCAATCGAGAGGGCATCGATACGCCAATCCCATCGTGAGTTTTCTCGCTCTTCACTCCCTTAGGCGACGAGTGCACGAACGCATGGCCGCCTCCCACATCGGACAGAGACTCAGCCCTGATCCTGGACTCGAGCTCCCGATGTTGGTGTGCCCCTTGTATGTCCTCGTGCTCATACCTTCTCACAGGCGGTGGTCAACCTTGCGCGCGAGATCGACGCAGACGAGCTCCTCCCAAGCGCCTTCTACGAGCTTTCGCGCTACACCTTCACCGAGATTTTCGAGCCCGCGCCCGGGGACCCTCTCGAGCCTCCGCCGTCACCATTCACTTCTGCCCTCGGCACTCCACCCACGTCCGCACCCGTCTTACCCTCCGCCTTCGCCGCCTCACCATCTTCGACCGCGTCCTCGACCGCGCTCTCCTATCGCCTCTCCTCCGCGGACACCCAGCGTCTCGCGCTTGGGAAAGAGGCCGCCAGCACGCGATCACTGCGCTCATCCAGAACATGGAGCACGCCGGGCCCGACCCCCCGCGGTGCCCCCCAAGCCACCGCCGCTCGCGCTCCGCCCAGGCCCTCGCGCTCCCCGGTTCGCCCACCGGGTCCCCGGGCCCGCGGCGCCCGGTGTGCGCGACCCCGGCGGCGTGCCGGAAGGACCTGGGGGAGCTGATCGAGCTCGCGACGCAGCACTACCTGTTCGACCGCGAGCAGGGGTGCGCGGACCCGCTGTACGTCGCGGAGGAGCTCGGGCAGCTGAAGAGCGCGGAGTTCTCGGACTGCGTTGCGTGCGCGCGCGCGCTGGAGGCGTGGGCGGCGCGGGAGCGGGAGCGGCTGTGGAGGGCGGTCCCAGACTGGTTCCGGCTGCGATGAGGCGAGGGGGTTTGTGAGGGTTCAGACGGTACTGTGAGCGTGTTGTTGTTGCAGCTTCGTTTTTCCTTAATACGCGCTGGTGTCGCCTCCCTGGGGTGGACCCGCGCGCGCTGACAACCGCCGTGACTCTGATTGTAGATGCTGTATGTACGATACCCTTTGTAGTTGCTATATCTTGTGCCCATGGACACGTCAAACGTTACCCTCTGTTATCTATTCCTTGCTGCTCTTGGGTCGTGTTTCTTTCACCTTTTCCCATCGTGTCGTGGTGAGTGTGTTTCCACCGGCCCATCGGTGCCAGATCCGCTCACAGCGAGGCTTTTCAATCCGCATACAGTTCCGTTCACGAGGCATATAAAATTTGCTGCTCACCGATGTCTCACGGGAAGCGCTTCCCACTGTACGCTCACCGCGGCACAGGTACCGTCGGAATGGGTGGTACGTTCCCTCCACGTCCTCGGATGAGGGGCCGCGCGGATACGGTCCAGTGACTGTTCTTCCAGGCGTTCGGGCCACCAGGCGTGCTCATGAACGAGATGGCTGACACGACACATACACTGGCCGGAACTTCTGGGTCTAATGGTCTCATTAATAATATTGTGCTATCGTTAGTCCAACAGGAATCCCATCGCAGTATCTCGAGCTGGCCGTTCTTATCGAAGTGTAACCAATTGTGAGCGCTTGAGCGTTGTGTCACAATGTATGTGACTTTTGGTGAAAACGTGATATGACGAGGCGAATGTGACACTCGTGACGAGGATGCCGCCCGCCGTACTACACCCAATTGAAAGACGTTGATCCTCGACCATCATCTCTGTTTTCTTCAGACTGTGCCAGACCGCGCTCCCACAGGTGTGAGTTGTAGCGCATTTTGGCACGCTCCCAGCTCATCCTTCTAACATCCTCTTCCCACTGCGCAGACCCACTCGCTGTTGCGAAGCGCTTGGTCATCGTCCCTGAAAGCGTGACCATCCAACAACTACTTCATAAGCACCGCTGCGCCCCATCAGCACTGCCCCGCACAACGTCAAGAATGGATGGTGACGCTTGTCAGCTTATCTCTCATTTCCCCCTTCTTGGACGAGGCCTGACTGGATGCAGCTCAGAGTGCACGATACATCAGTTCGCATCCTGGACAACGAGAACCACGCGATGAGTCAAGACGTTGTTGAGGTGTCAGAGCTCGCGGGTCGAATCCAGCAGCTGGTGAAGGCTTGAGGATGTCCTCGCAGACCTCGGCGATGCGTATATAAGCAACTCCCGTCCTGCTGGGTGTCCTCAGCAACAGCACCACATCTCTCACTCCATCGCCCGCTGACCTCTCTTCAGTACTTCACCATGTCTCACGGAAAGCAATTCACGCTCTACAGCCACAAGATGGGTCCCAACGGATGGTTCGCGTTCATTTTGCTAGTCCCTTTGCCGCCCACTGACCGCAGTGCTCTTTCTAGGAAGGTCGCCATGGTCCTCGAGGAGCTCGGACTCACCTACGAGTCCATCTACCTCGACTTCTTCAAGGGCGAACAGAAGGCGCCCGCGTACACCCAGTACAACCCCAACGGTCGCACCCCGACACTCATCGACCATCACAACGGCGACCTGACGATCTGGGAGTCGGGAGCGATCATCCTCTACCTCGCGGACAAGTACGACCAGGAGGGCAAGCTGTCGCCCGCCCAGGATGACGAGCTCGGCCGCCACGAGCTGTCCCAGTGGCTCTTCTTCCAGGCGTCCGGACAAGGGTGAGTCTATCTGTCTATGCGCGGTATCAAGGGCTCGTGGGACCGACACTTTCTTACCCACAGGCCGTACTTCGGCCAGCTTCGCTGGTTCCAGCGTCGGCACCCAGAGAAGCTCCCGTCGGCGATCACTCGCTACCAGAACGAGGTCATCCGGGTGTTCGGCGTGCTCGAAAGCGTGCTGTCGAAGCAGGCGTGGCTGCTCGGCGACAAGTGCACCGTCGCGGACATCTCGTTCGTGATCTGGAACCAGCCCGTCGTTGCGCTCGGTTTGCTCTCGGACGTTGAGGGGATGGACGTGCCGACGAAGTTCCCCGCGTTCTACGCGTGAGTGCTCTCACTTCTAGGCTTGTATCGAGGATTTGGAGCTGATCGGACGGTTGCAGATGGCATCAGAAGCTGGTCGCCCGCGAGGCGGTGAAGAAGATCCTCGAGCGCAGGTTGGCACCGTTCCGCCCTCAAAGGTGCGAGCATTGTGGGGCGGAAACGGGCGGAAAGAGGCGCGTTGAAGGGAAATCCCGTCGTTGAACATGTGCAGTGTCATAGTATTTATCCCGGATATTTATTTCGACGTCGTGATGTTTTGCCAAAACGCGTCTGTGACCACGACGGGAGGTCAGCTCTGAGAATGCGTTGGCGCAAGTCGAGTCAAAACATTAGGCATTCATGGCTGCCTGTTATGAGTACTGTGAGGCATGTGTCACTTTCACGTGACTGTTACTTTTCGCGTTGAGTCACCGCCGCGGCTCCTGCGAGCTTTCGCAATACTTCCATCTGCACTCTGAGATCCCTCACTTGTATCCTCATTGCCATACCTCGCCGAGAGCCCATGAAAATGCCTGCCCCTGCCAGGCCAATCTATGATATGATCTGGCGGCTGACTTGGGAATCCGAATGCTTGCAAGACAGCCTCCATCTGCGGGGTATATGAGGTGCGCAGGGCTGCCGTTCTCTACATTCACCCGTCTTCGTCTCCCACCATCTACACCATCCTCTGCGAGTTCTGATACATCCTCGTCTTCCAGTATCCACCATGCAACCCCTCAGCCTGTTCCCCATCCCACCGTCCACCTTCAATAACACCTGCACGACCAGTAACACGGTCGTGTACGGCGTGCACCTCCAAGTCAACATGAATAACCCCGAGCTCTTCTACCTGGCTTCATCGTGGGCCTCCACCGCGGCCGTCACCTTGCTCGTTTGTTGCTTGCTCCCCTTCCTCGTCGACCTCTCTCAACCCCGGCTCGCCTGCGCCTGCAAGCCCGCGGCCTTGTCTTCGTCCTGTTCACTTTCTTCTGGGCCCAGCAAGTCGGTGTGGACTTCGTCACAGCCTCGGTATTCCTCTCGCTTCTCCTGCCCTACGTCTTCTGCCCGTCTACCAGCAGCCTGTCTGTCAGCCCCAGTCAGCCGCATTCTCGCCTCACTTCATCCTCGTCCACCGACTCTGCCCATCGGACATCGCCGTCGCGCTCTTCCTCCTGTCTCCTCCTCGACGGGGGCGGCTTCACCTTCGCCGATGAACGCGATGCGAGCGTCGTCGAGCTCGACGAACCCCAGGCCCGTGGCAGCGACGCCTCAGTAGCCGACCAGACAGACCTCATCCGCCGTCTCGAGGCCGAGCTTATCGCTTCCCATGCCGACCACTCGACGACCAAGCACGAGCTGAGGGCGGCGCGGCGCGATATGGAGGCCAAGGAGACCGCGTTCACGAAGAAGGTGCAGGATCTCACCCGGACGCGGGCGGAAGCCATGGCTTTGTACACGGCGACCACCGAGCAGCTCACAGAGATGAGGACGCGCCATGAGGGGCTCACGAAAAGCTACGTGGAGGAGATGGCTGTCGCGAAAGCGGAGGCCCGTCGCCTGCAGGTCGCCACCGCCGAGCTCGGCGACGCCAACGCCGCGAACGATGCCTGGCATCTGGAGAATGAGAGGACGCGCGGCTTGCTTGCTAGGAAGGAGGCTGACTTGGATGCGACTCATGCCAAGCTCGAGGTGCGTTTTCTTCACTCTGTTCACACATACCCTCCTCATTTCCCCTATCCGCTTCTCAGAGGAGCCGCCACCTTTACTCCGCATGCAAGATGCAGTACGACTCTCTGAAGGAGGAGCGCGACTCGTTGCGGGCGTCGCATGACTCATTGCTAGTGAAGAACCGCACGCTACAGACGGAGCGAGACTCGCTGCATGAGAAGTGCAACCTGGAGAAGGCCACATGTGACTCCGTGACGGCCGAGCGCGATGCGCCGAGGTCGCAGGTTGTGTACCCCCAGAATGCCATGGCCTCACCGATGTCGCCCCAGAGCCCGCCGCCTTCGTCATCCACTCGACACTCTAGGAGGCGCTCCCACCTCACTCGCGACGAACTCGATCTAGCCCCACACCTTCCCATCCTCCTCGACGACTCTCCCAGCCTCTTCGCGCCTCTCCCCCGCCGTGCGGCGCGTGAGACGTCCGTCTCCGCGTCTTCCACCCCCGTCCAGCTACGGTCCCTCCCGAGCATCCCCGGCTTCGAATTCCAGCCTACACGGACGTCTTCTCCGGCTGGGCACACCGAGCGTCCCCGCGCTCGAACGGGGGAGCGCCGCAGTCGCTCGGCACCCACTGCTCCGCGCCCGGAGCACGCGCCTGCTATGCTGTTCCGCCCACTCCGCCTCCCTCGCGGGGACGGACCGGAGATCGACACCCCGACGCCGGCGGGTCGCGGATTGCGCCGCCGGACCATTTCTTGAACAACGGCAACGACTTTTTCCTCTTATCTTGCATAGGGTCTCTTCTCGTCTGGATACCGACACGACTAGCGTCTCTTGCGTCTGTCTCACGGTGTCTCGTCTGGTTCTGGTTCTCGTCACGAACATTGGCTCGGTCTTACTGCAGGTTTCCGGTTATGTTTCTCGCATCACGTCGGACTCGCGACTCAGCACTCTTGTGCTTGTGCTTCTCCAGAGATTTCTCCAAAATATCCTCCAGGCTCCCATCTGAGAGGAAATGCAGCGTCGCCCAGTGGCAGTTTGAAGCGCTGGGACCAGCCGCAGAAGTGGTACCAGTGCCCCGGCGGTCTCTTCCCTGCAGACATAGTCCTAGCCGTACGATCACCTCGAGCGCCGGGGGTCGCGTCTTTCTATATTCGAACTGGAGCCCCACGACGTCTCCGCTCCTGCGGATACTCACAAGCCGCGTGCCTTCTGCTCCGCATGCGTGGAGCGAGGCGTCAGGCATGCGGAACGGCGCCGCGAGGGACGCGTTCAGCTGTGTGAGCGCTCGGCGGGGAGCTTCGGTGTTGAGCGGGATGGGGTGTGCGAAGAGTACGTTTGCCCACTCCCATCCCTTGGACGCCGAGGAGAGGCCCAGCAGCGCCCGGAGGGGATGGAGAACCTCTGCGGCGAGCGAAAGGAGCCGACACGGGTAATCCACGGTGTTGATGGAGGTGTGGAAGGGCGGGCGGGCGCGATCTGCGGCGAATGGGCAGGACGTGATGAAGAGGCCGAGAGGCCCCAATATAGGGTCGGCGCAGGAGAGGAAGGCGATAGTGTAGTTGCGGAGCACCAAGATGGGTATGTGGGCGAGCACGCCAGAGGGAGTAATGGAAAATGTGATGGCACGCTGTTTCTAGGACTCATGTCAGAATGAGCTTGGAAAGCTGTAGAAGGGTCACTCACGACTGGAAAGTCGGCGTGAGGCTCAAACTTCACTGAATGGCTGTCGACGAAGCTACCAGGGCTCGGCGCCAATAGGTAGGACGACGGCGAAAAGTGATCGTGCTCTTCGTTGCGTGGCGCGAGGTTATATGAGTTAGTGAAACGGCCCCACGCGAATAAAGAGGTGTCCGTCGACGTCCGCATGATCTCCTCTTGCAGCCTCTGGAACGCCTTCCGGCCCTCGCCATACAGCATCGGCATGTTGATATCGAAGATCCCCATCAGGCAGTACGCTTCGTCTTCAATCCGCGTCGTTACTCTTCGACTTGCCCAAGACATCCGCTGTGCGATGCTGACGTCCTGTATCTCCTCCTCAAAGCGTAGGATGCTCAATGGTATCGCCGTCGCGCTCCCCAGGGGCTCGGCTAGCTCGGCCTTGGACCCTAGCACCTCCCAATCTCGCGAAAGGAAGAGAAGGAGACGTGGTGCGAGGAGCTCCTGGAGCGTCCATCCGCGGGTGTGCCAGCGGCTCTTATAGAATGCGCTGTGATCGAGCTTTCCATCCTTGGCCGCGACGTCGGAAAGGTAGGCGTAGCAAACACCGGCGAGGGAGTAGTAGTGGAACATCGAGTTGATCGCCTCCGAGAGTTCGGCGGAACTCGACTTGTCAATGCAGCAAGTGTCTGCCCATGCGAAAGTATAACCGTGCTTCGCGGAAAGAATGCAGAATTCGCGGATCTTGGAGGAGACGAAGTCGCGCGGGTTTTCTCCGGTTTCTTTGCAGCGTGTTTCGACGGCACGAATATCGTAGAACTGGGTCTCGTCGTTGGTCCAGACGTGGGAGAGGATAGCGTAGCCTCCGGGCACGACTTCAGCGGAGACGAAGTAGTGGAGCTCTGCACGGTCCGTGCTGAGAAGCCACATGATGTCGGGCGGATTGGCTGTAGAAAGCGGGATGCAGTGGCCAAGACGTGATATCGAGAGGGACGGGGTGGTGGGATCCGACGACAAAACACGACCACTGCAGGTTATCGTCACGATCTGCGCTAGCGCACAGTCCCCACGCACTATCGCCGATCGTCCGCATAGCTGATGCCTGGTATACAAGGATAACTAACAATACGCGTCCTCCTAGCTCGCACGCGTGACGACTCCCCTTCATCGCCGATGGATCATTTGACAGAGCCGCCTAGTCACACTCTGCCGGCTCTCCGAAGGAAGATCCGTTCGACGAAGAGAAGATGGTCCCTGGTACGAGCGTTGTATCGAACTCCAACTTTTGAAGCTCTTACTACAGCGTAACAGAGTCGAGTACTGGAGACGTGCCAGTCGGCGTGGAGTAGACCGAAGGAGTAGGCGTAGCATTGGTGGTGGGGAACGTATTCGTAGCGTTTCTCTGGGATTTAGGATAGACGGTTTTTTCACTGGAGACAACTCGAACACCGATAGGTGGCGAGGTTTGGGGCGCATGCGGTGGCTTGGGGCGTACGGTGGCTGTTGAAGCGGTCCCGGAGGCTGAGGGAGTGTTGAGATCTGTCGTGTTGTTGAGACCACAACCGCAAGGCCTGTCTTTCTGGCAGCAAGTCACCATGCGTGACCAATTAACTGCGCGATATTGAGGATGCCCAGTGTCTGCTGTCACATCAGAGATAATCCACCGTCGCATCTGGTGAGACTCACCTGAACCGGTTGATGGCGGCGGTGCGTGGAAGATCGGCGATTAATGGATTGCAGGACAACTAATGCAACAAATGGAAATTGAAAGCCACGTAAGTGATAGACACTAGAATACTGATCTTGACACTGACCGTATCGTACATCCAGCAACTAAAGACGCTCCTCATGGCGGCGCCTTATCCCCGTAATGGATGAACTCCAACACGCCTTCCCAGGTTCCACCCCCCGAATATCCTGCACGTCCTTCATCGGCAACCCGCACAGCTTCCGCACGCTCCCAACGCGGCTCAGAATGTGCTTCACGTTCTTCGCCGCGACGCCCGGTGGGCTGCACAACAGCTCCTCCGCCGTGGTGTTCGCGCCCGCGTCCTCCTCCGCGTCGATGAGCACTGGGTCCCGCTGCACCATGTTGTCCTTGAGGTCGTTGAAGACCTCAGCGGTCGCGTACGGCGACGACGGCCACAGAACGCCCCCGCGAGGGAACGTGAGGGTGAGGAGGACGAGATTGGCCTAGGTCGCTGTTACGCTGAGGTGGCGCGTTCCCCACGCGCGTCCGCCTTCTTCTTTGTAGGGTCCTTGGCCGATTTGGCGAACGACTTGACGTTGGCGACCGCCTGGATCGATGAGAATAAGCAGGGCATGGGCAACGCGAAGGCGACACGGCGTACCTCGAGTGCGAAGGATTGGTGCTCTTTGAACTCGATAAGCAAGATCGGTTGCTTGTAGTACGCCGACATCAGCTCGTACTGGGTGTATCTGGACTATGTGCGTTAGGCTGACGTCCATGACGGCGGGGTTCACGTTCCACTCACAGGCGGCCACTATTCAGACTGGACACGAGATCAGGAATGCTCGTGCACTCGACACAGATGTCGGGCGTCAGGATGAAATCGCCGACGGTGAAGGTCATGGGAAACCCGGACGCATGGAGCAATGACGACAGAGAGGACCGGAACTCGCCCATGTCCGCAATGACCTGAGCGTGGCATGGCGCGATCAAAAAACCATCCCGACATGAGGCCGTGAAGAGAACTCACTGGGGCGGGTTCTGTAGACACCTCTTTCCTGCCTCCGGTCATGCGTATGCTGATCGTCCGGATCGACGTATCGTTCACGACGGACCCCCGCTCCATGTGGATGGGCATTAGCATCCACTAAGATCGAGACTCAGTAATAAGCGCAGTTTGCACGTCGCGGGAGCACGTACCCCGCGCTCTCAGATGAGACGCTCGAAGTGGTCCTTTTCCCGCCCGAGCCCTGCGAGGTACTTCCCCTCTTCGCAGCTGAGCTTGTACATCATGAAGTGCACCCGTACGCCGAGGCCTGGGTTCGGGTTCCGATAGACCTCGATTCGCCGAATGAACTGGAGGTTGGGTTCGTATATGACGATGAACCGCGACTTGATTTCCTGCAGTACCTGATCGTCGGAGTCGCCGGCGTAGGGTCAGACGAGGACGTTTGCTCGGAAGCGAGGAGCCCGTAGTGCGTTGAAGGCGTTGTCCATCGTGAACAGCTCGAATTCATGCTGTCGACCCCTTGAGTGGACAGGCCATATGCGCGTATTCCGGCTCAACGAAGTCCACGCGCGGAAAGACAACGAAGCACTCACAAGCCTGCGATGTCCTCCGATGTCCTCCGCTTCCTGCCCGATGATAATGTCGTCCAGCCCCCCGGCGTTGACGATGGGAGGCGTGACGACCTCCTGGGTGTTCCCCGCGCCGGCCGAAGCACCTCCTCTCCCTCTCCTCCGGCTCGCCGCCCCCTTCAGCCTTTTCCTTGTTCTTCTTCTTCAGCGCCTCGCCGATCGGAGTGTCGTCGTTCCTGCCGTTTGGGAGAGCGATGGGAGTCTTCCCGTCGGTCTTGCGCTCCGAGAGCTTTCCCGTCCACCACAGGTAGGGCCGCAGTTTGCTCTCCATCATATGGCGTCCCTGGTCCCCCCGTGGCGCTTTCGAATCGAGGTCGCGAAGGAAGTCCTTGATGAGGGTGCACGTGTGGAGGGAAGACGCCATGATGAGGGCGGTTTTCGTGCCGGGTGCAGCTAGATCCCGCCAGTGAGTCGGCGGGGCCCGCTCGTAGGAGGAGGGGAAGACTTACGAGATCCAAGCAAATGTTCCCTCCTCATCATTTCCTCCTCAGCTTCGTGCAACACATCCGCCAGCAGGAACCACTTCGGCAGTTCCTCCAACACCGGCTCCATCCCGTCCGGCAACCATAGTACTTCCTCCTCGCCCGTCCGCCCGCTTCCCGCCCCACCCTCCCCGCCGCCTCTGTCTCCATCCGGTCCAAAATTGCCCGCTCATTGAGTCATGCTGACCGCGTGCAAATGTCAGATATTAACGCACCCATAGTGTTCGCCTGCTTGAGCTCCTGCAGAGTCGTGGGCATGCTTTGGACAGTGCCTTTGTGGATCTCCGACATCGCTTCCGTCATTTCCTAATGCAACTCGACGATGTCCGGGACCTTGTCTTCAAGCGACTCCTTGATGCCGGGGATAGATGTGAACCACCCGAAATTGCATCTCCTTCAGCACCGTCCGAAAGGGAGACATCCCGCTCGCGATGTGCTCGGGCGGGTCCGAGAACGCATTCAGGAAATCGGTCTTGTTCTTCTCCCGGTACAACCGCACGATGAAGGCCTCAGCAGAGGTGGGCGTGACTCTGGATGTCCTATGAGCGAAGGGAGAACAAGCAGACGCCCCAAAATCACCGTTCAGCGCACAGAATGAGCAGTCCGGTGATCATATGCGTCGGAATGTCTTCAGTGAGCATGCCGACCGTCAGGAGTCGCGACGTGATGATATCAGGCCGCCCTTCTTGTAGAGTTCCAGCCTGCATCCCTACAATGAGAACGGTCGGTCCACATGCGGTGTCAAAGTAAAGCCGCACCTATACTCCTTCACCGCCTCGAAACCCACGATTCTCAGCCCCGGATTCCTGCAACCCACCACACCCAGCTCCTCGCCGACGGCCAACTCCTCTTCCAACGTAGCATTTACGAGCAGTGCGAGGTTCTGAAGGCCGTCGTATATTTGCATAAGCTTGCAGACGATGCGGCGCAAACCAAGGCCGCGAGCAAGCAGAACGAGCTCTTTGAGGTTGCCGGGTCGTGGATCTTCTCTAGAATCGGCCCGTGGAACAGGAGAAGGATGTAAATCTTGCGAGAGTCGATGGGAACAACGGAGGTGGATGAAGATGAACGCGGAGAACAAGCTCCTTCTGTGTAGCGCGAGCGCAACTGGGCCTCGGCCCTGGCCCCTCGGGCGGGCGGCGGATCGGAAGAGCGCTGAGCGCGGACATTGCACGTGATGAGGGCCACGGACTCCCGGGCCGCGGGTCGTCTTCTCCAAAGACCTCCGTTTCTCGAGCAAGTATGTACCTCGTCCAAGAGCCCACCCGCGCAACGCCCCTCGCCCACATCACCACCGCCTGGCCATCGATGCTCAACTTGCGCGGTTGTATGAGTCGCCTCTCGGAGCAGCGTGCGACGACCTGCGACGACGTTGCGTCGCTTACAGGTCGCCACCACCGAGCTCGGCGATGCCAACGCCGCGAACCATGCCTTGTAACTGGAGAACGATAGGACGCGCGTTTTGCTTTCTAGAAAGGAGGATGACTTGTGTGCGATGCGGCTACGCTCGAGGTAAGTTTTCTTTTCTCTATTCACCCATCTCCCCAATCCGCCTCCGATCAGAGGAGCCGCAATCTTTACTCCGCACGCAGGATGCAGCACGACTCTCTGAAGGAGCTTAAGCACGACTCGTTGTAGGCGTCGCGCGACCCGCTGCAGGCGGACAACCGCACGGTACAGACTGAGCGAGTCTCGCTGAATGAGAAGTACAACCTGGAGAAGGCCACCCGTGAGTCAGCGACGGCGGAGCGCGATGCGCTGAGGGCGCACGTTGAGTACCCCCAGAATGTCATGGCCTCACCGATATCGCCCCAGAGCTCGCCGCCTGTGTCGTCCACTCGACACTCTCGGAGCTCACACCGCGTCGGGGAATCGGTTTGGGGCGCACGGGCTTGGCTGGGAGAGGATCTGTACTCGAGGATGTCTTGCTCCATGAGCTGGTACCGTGCATGTGGGGTGGGGCGATGAAGCCGTGTCCTCTGCGTAGGCGAGGAGCGTCCGGGTGGCGTGTGGGCCCGGACCTGGGGCTCATCAGACGCAAAGCGACCTGGTGCACATCTTTAAAAGGAGCAGGATATGTGCGAGTAGCGAGGGACCGGTGGCAGGGTGCGGGTGGCGAGGAAAGAAGCATGGTGTAGAGACTTGATGTAGATGCTTGACATCGAGAACACTCATATCGCTCCTGCCTCGAGATTTGGTAAGAAGATATTCAGATTCAATGTTCGTCAAATCGTGCCATAGGGAAGCTAAACTATCCACAAGAAATATGCAACTCGAGTGTACTCCCCGCCTCATTCATGGGACAAACCGTGAACGAGGTCACAAACTTCGTGGTCTCTACGTGACTCTCATTTTTGACTCCGAAATTTGTCGAAAAGAGCTTTCTCCTGTCCGTCCAGTTGCGCACATGATCCTTCCCACAATTGTGGTCCTTGCGATCCGAGAATGCCTCCAGAAACTCCTCCCGGACCCCATCTTCGTACCAATACTCGCGGAAATACATCGTGGCCCGGTGGCAGCTTGAGGAGCTTGGATCGGCCGCAGGAGTGGTGGGATCTGACGTACATAGTCCGAGCCACACGACCACCGCAAACCGGACTGGTGGCTTCTGTAGTCGAACTGGAGCCCCACGACGTCACCGCTCTTGCAGACGTTCACAAGCCGCATACCCTCTGCTGCGCACGTCTGGAGCGAGGCGTCGGGCACGCGGAACGGCGTCGCGAGGGACGCGTTCAGCTGCGTGAGAGCGCGGCGGGGGGCTTCGGTGTGGGGCCGGATGGGGTGTGCGAGGAGTATGTTTGCCCACTCCCATCCCTTGGACGCCGAGGCGAGGCCCAATCGTGCCCGGATGGGGCGAAGGTCCTCTGGGGCGAGCACGACGAGCCGACGCACGGAGGTGTGGAAGAGCGGGCGGGCGCGATCTGTGGTGAATGGGCAGGGTGTGATGAAGAGGCCGAGAGGCTTTGAGACGGAGTCAGTACAGGAGAGGAAGACGATGGTGCAGGTGCGGAGCACCAAGATGGGTATGTGGGCGAGCACGCCAGAGGGAGTAATGGAGAATGTGATGGCACGTTTCTCCTAAAACCGATGTCAGAACGAGCTCGGAAAGCTGTAGAATGGTCACTCACGACTGGAAAGTCGGCGTGAGGCTCAAAATTCACCGAATGGCTGTCGACGAAGCTACCAGGGCTCGGCGCCAATAGATAGGACGACGGCTCAAAGTGATGATGCTCCTCGTCGCGTGACGCGCTGCCATAAAGGCCCCACGCGAACAAGGAAGTGTCCGTCGACGTCCGCATGATCTCCTCCTGCAGCCTCTGGAACGCCTTCCGGCCCTCGCCATACAGCATCGGCATGTTGATATCGAAGATCCCCATGAGGCAGTACGCTTCATCTTCAATCCGCGTCGTTTCCCTTCGGCTTGCCCAAGACATCCGCTGTGCGATGCTGACATCCCGTATCTCCTCCTCAAACTGTAGGATGCTCACTGGTATCTTCGTCGCGCCCTCCAGAGCCTCGGCCAGCTCAGCCTTGGTCCCTAGTGTCTCCCAATCTCGCGAAAGGAAGAGAAGGAGACGTGGTGCGAGGAGTTCCTGGAGCGTCCATCCGCGAGTGTGCCAGCGGCTCTTGTCGAATGCGTCATGATCGAGCTTTCCATCCTTGGCCGCGACGTCGGATAGGTAGGCGTAGCAGACACCGGCGAGGGAGTAGTAGTGGAACATCGAATTGATGGTCTCCGAGAGTTCGGCGGAACTCGACTTGTCGATGCAGCAAGTGTCGGCCCACGCGTAGGTATAGCCGTGCTTCGCGGAAAGAATGCAGAATTGGCGGATCTTGGAGGAGACGAGGTCGCGCGGGTTTTCTCCGGTTTCTTTGCAGCGTGTTTGGACAGCACGGAGGTCGTGGAACTGGGTTTCGTCGTTGGTCCAGACGTGGGAGAGGATAGCGTAGCCTCCGGGCACGGCTTCAGGGGAGATGAAGTAATGCAGCTCTGCGCGGTCGGTGCTGAGAAGCCACATGTTGTACGGAACGCCTGCGGGAAGCAGGAAGAGGTGACCAAGAGGTGATGTCGAGATATGTGGGGGAGTGGGATCCGACAACAAGGGACGACCACTGCAGGTTATCGTCACGATCTGTGCTAGCGCACAGTCCCCACGCACTATCGCCGGTACTCCGCACAACTGGTGCCTGGCGTACACGGGTAACAACCAATACACGTCCTCGCGCACGGGACGACCCTTAAAAGCTTCATCACCGATGGAGCATCAAACATAGTCGCTTGGCTTTCTGAGAGCAAAAGAAACGGTTGTAGCATACGACAAGGCCCAGCCTCCGTATGTGCGTAGAACACAGAGCGAGAAAGAGGACACAGAGCCCGCGCCGTACCGAACTTGCACCCCGCTCACCTCGCCAACTATCAACAAAACGGTCCCGCGATGTCGTGCCACGGGATATCGCCCTCCACGAACCGCCGCGATTTCCCTTTTCCCTTCATCCCCGCGCTCGCCGACACGCCCACGACTTGCACTCCGCCGCCGGCGCTCCCCGCCAGCGGAAGCGTTTCCGCGGCTCCAGCTGAGGCTCGCCTTCGCGATCGGTCCCGAGGTCAAAGGCGGCACGGGCGGGGTGGCCTCGCCGTTGACATCCGCGGAGGGGCGACGGAGGCTGAAGAAGCCTTGCGGCGCGGTCGGAGGGAGCGCGGCTTGTCCTTGAGGAGCTTCTTGCCCGAGTCCTGCGTGCCATCGACGGAGGCGAAAGGGTCGTTCGAGACGAAGGGGTACTCGTCGAAGGATGACGTGACCCGAGGCATGGGGGTGCTCGCCCCGCGCGTCAAGGCGCTCTTGGAGGGTGTCTGCGGGAGGGGTTTCTTGGCGGGAAGAGAGCGAGGCTGGACGGGTAGGGAGGCGCGGGCGCTGGGAGAGGTTGAGGACGTAGGGAAGGAGGCGAGCACGACGTCGACAGGGACCCCTGCGGCAAGCATCTCGCGCATACATGTGAGCTGCGCGCGTAGCACCTCCGTCTCCGACGACGAACGGGTCGCGGTCGGGGCTGGAGGGTGGGCTCGGATTCGACTTCGCCGATGACGAAAGGGTTGTTTTTGTTCGGCGTGCGTGAATAACCGGCGTCGGAAGGCATACTGAAAACTAAAAACAGAAGCGACCACTTCGTCAGCCGCGATATGGAGGACAAGGATGAAGACAGCTCTTACCTGTTTGTTAGTACTTGACTGGCAGCACGAAAACCCACGGGGGAGAACAGGAAAAGAGGGCGTCCTTGATTCTCCAGAGCAGTCGAGCCACATTCATATACATGCTAAATGCTCAAATCTAGAGCTTGACTGGATGAACTCAACTCATGTAGTACGCCGGTTCTCACCAGTGGGGGCTCGGAGCGTGAGTGCATGCGGCGTAGGCCTGTGGCACCCTCGACCACACTGAAGCAACCGGACACAAAAGACGCAACCGCAGACCTATTCGCATACAAAAGGTGAGCTGTGCTGCCGAAGGTGGTTCGAGAGCGCGTGTGCAGGTTGCTAGCCACCTACTGAAGACAATAGACTTCGGGTGGAAACCGTAGGCTAGGACGTCAGATTCAAACGTCCACCACGTACTAGGTTGACTTATCAAGGGCGCTTTCAAGCGAAGAAGGCCCGTTCAAGCTCTGCAGATGGTAGAGTGAAGGAAAGAGGTGCATGAACCACGCCCGACCGGTGACGACGGTCGTCGCAAGGCTGACCAATCCGACCGGTTGCTGCGACCGGTCCGTCCCCGGGCCGCGGGTCCGCCCACAAGGCAACGACAACGGGCGCTCCAACAACGTTAATCTCTTCCACTCTCCCAAGTCTCCTCCTTCTCCAATTGCACTACTCCTAAGACATGCTCGGAGTCAACTTTATACAACCTGTATTCAAGGAATATATCCACGCGGACTCGGTCGATCTCAAGGTCCCCTGTCACTGGCCCCATTGTTTGTCTCATGCACCTCCGATTCAAAAATACCACTGCGGAGCCCCATCCTCCCGCATGAGAAGCCGAGAAGAACCCGTGACCCAAGTCCTGTGTCCGCTTTCAATTGCATTTTGTACGTTCTTTATGTGAAACTACCACCAAAAGTGGAGGTGGTGTGAACGATGGCGTTAAGAACGGCGGGACTGAGTGGGCGGATGCCATCGTAAGCATCCTTCCCAACGTTCTGCCTTTCGTCATCTCACTGCATCTCTAGCACCGTGCAGCCCCATGCCTTGCCAACGTGGACGAGTGTGCGAGTCGCTGGAAGATCAGCGGGCCGCGGGAAGTGGTACAAAGCGCATACACCGAGCCCTCTGGAGCAGCGTCCCCGACGAGCACCAACATGTCGCGGAAGACTGCAGTCCTTGTAGTGAGCCTCTCCCTCCTATTCTCGTGCGTTACAGGTGCACCCCCTACCGTGAAGCTCGACGATGCGACCGTCATCGGTTTCAACGCCGGTCTCAATGACCGTTTTCTAGGCATCCCATTTGCCAAACCTCCGTACGTCACATTATCCACCTCTCTGAGCGCATATATGCTGACTCCAAGGTCTGATCAGAGTCGGCGCTCTACGGTTGCAGCTTCCCCAGGCGATTTTGCACTTCAGCGGAGTGATCAACGCAACCAGCTTCGGCAACCAGTGCATCCAACAAACCATTATCACGCCCAATGTGCCCTCCAACTTCCCTCCCGAGGTCGAAGCGTTCATAGCGCCCGCGGCGGCACCTCCGGACGCTCCTCAGAGCGAAGATTGCGCGTACCCAAACCTGCCGCAGTCATTCATGTAGTGTTCCAGTGTCTATTCAGGCTCAACATCAACGTTATCGTCCCTGCAGGTGCAAAACCTAGAGACAACTTCCCTGTGGCTGTAGTGAGTGTGTCATCTTAGTATTGCGCGCCGCATTAATTGCTGATTTGACCCCTCAGTGGATCTACGGCGGTACGGCCCTCTTATCTCAAACAGAGGGAAACTCATCATCGGCAAACAGGAGGGTATCAAGTTGGCTCCAACGCTGTGTACGCATCCTTTCATCTTCGAGAGCATTGCTAACGCCGCATTTGTAGACAACCTGGTGAAACCATCGTGAATCGATCCATCGAGCTCGGCCAACCCATCATCTTCGTTTCGATGAACTACAGGTATGGTTGCTGATGTTCGCTCATTGATCTTTGACCGACCGTTTTCAGGCTCAGCGGTACGTCTCAGTCTTAAATGTATTCGGTCAGAGTTGAGCGTACCACCAGCTTTCGGGTTCCTCGGCGGGAGCGATATTCAACAGGCTGGGTTGGGTAATCTCGGTCTGCAAGACCGTACGTGCTTTTAATTTCGTCTCGGGAAGGGTCGATTGATTGGGATCTGTTATCAGAACGAGAAGCGTTGCGCTGGGTTCAGAAGCACATTGCGGCCTTCGGGGGCGACCCATCCAAAGTCACGATGTGCGTTGTCGCGACGTTCTCTATGTGACGTTCTTACGCATTTACACATAATTTAGCTTTGGCGAAAGTGCCGGAAGCCAAGCTGTTCTGTTCCAGATGGTCACCAACGGCGGCGATACCGAAGGTCTCTTCCGCGCGGGATGGATGGAATCCGGCTCCGCCCTCCCGACAGACGATTTTGAAAATCTGCAGCCCACTTTTGACTTCATCGTCAGCGAAACGGGATGCGCAGAGCGAAAGATAGTTTGGCATGTCTCCGTAGAGTGTCCGCAGAGGCGATCTCTGCTGCGATGGATAAGACGCCGACGTTCCTGTCGTTCCAGGTGCGCGCAGTGGTCGTTGTACACTTTTCTGGTGTTGACTGACAGTTGCTCACAGGCATTGAACACACCGTGGATGCCGCATGCGATGGCGTGTTCTTGGAAGATGGCCCCCAAAAGCTTGTCCTGGATGGGAGCATCGCAAACATTCCTTTCGTCGTGGGTGCGAGTTGTCCACTTTTTATTGTGGGGTCGTTCTCACCGGATTGTAGGCTCTTGCGAAGACGAGGGACACTGTTTTCCCTCGCACCTCTCAACATTACGTCAGTCGCATGCCTCGTCCATATCGTAATCCACTCATTCCATGGCACAGTGGTACAGAGGCTCAACTCGCAGCATTCTCAAGTCAAATTACTTCCCGACCGCCTCCGACGCCGACATCCAGCGCCTTCTCGAGCTCTACCCCGCCGATCCCGCCGCAGGCTCTCCGTTTGGCACAGGCGACGCGAACGCGTTCACGCCGGAGTACAAGCGCCTTGCTGCATTCCAGGGCGACTTCATCTTCCGTGCGCCTGCGCGCTTCCTACTCAACCAGCGCGCCAGCAAGCAGGTCGCCGCTCCTTCGGTGAGTGCTTTCCCCTCTACCACCACCGCGTCGCTCACCTGCGCCGACGTAGTCAACAAGCGTGACAAGATCCCCGGGCTCGGCGCGGTACGTATTCCTTTGGGCTTCCATGCATCCGCGCTAATTCCCCGCATGCTCACTTTGGACGCGCTCCTGCCGCATTGGCGCGCGTGCACCCGAACAGACACACTCGACGGAGCTCGGCAACATCTTTGGGGGCGGAGACTTGGCCGACTTCTTCGTCCGCTTCGTCAACACGCTCGACCCGAAGGCGACGGTGCGCTCGACTGGCCGGTGTACACGACTGCCGCGCCGCTCGTTATCGCCTTCCAGAGGGCGCGGGGTGCGCCTCTCGCGCTCGTCAGGACACGTTCCGGAGGGAGGCGATGGCGTTTGTAACGCAGCTTGGCCTCGCACACCCGCTGTGAACCGGGTCCACACGGTGCGCGGAGGCATGCTCCAAGTATCGTACCATGCGCACAGGAGCGGAAGTAGTGCGTCCGAGGTTGTGTAGCACGGTGCGTGAAAATGCCATCATGCGCGCGAAATTTGGATCTGCGCGCGCTACCTTGATTCGGTTCCGTCAACGTTCGCCCGCTCTCCCGCTTCGCGATGGCACGAGCCCAGGTATTTAGCCGCGCGCCGCGGCGCGGTTGTCTAGAACTCTCCCCGTGCCCACACCCCCTCCCATTCTTTCCTCCACTCTCACGCGTCTCGCCCACAATGTCAGGCTCTGGGAAGTTGAAGTCGCCAAGGTCGCGCTCCCTTGGGTGTCGCTCGATGGCTCGGAAAGTTCTACAATCTCAACGCGGAGGAGCTCGCATTCTTCAAGCAAGCGACGGGCATCAGCGATGAGGCGAAGCTCAAGGAGCACATGATTGCGGTCCAGCGCGAGGCCTATGTGGTGCGTGATTCGCCAATTCTCGCTCAAGACGTGACATTGACCCGTGCGCGCGCGATAGATCCATGCGTTCCCGTGTATCAGGATGTTCTCGTTCACCAAGTGCGTCTTCCAAGAACTTGTATGAGGCGATATTGACGCAGAATGGACAGGCTGAAGCTTGCGCGCCTCTCTTCGTACAACAAGATCCTGGAGCTTGGGAAGTCCAGGAGAACCCCATCTTCCTCGATATTGGCTGTTGCTGTGGGTTCATATCTTCTGCCCAAGTCAACCTCCACTCATGTGACCACTGCAGTTGGCAACGACGTCAGGAAGCTCATCGCGGACGGCTACCCCATGGAGAGCTGCATGGCGACCGACCTCCACCCCGGTACGTACCTCCTCATGCACCTCGTTCCGTCAACCGACCCCGCCCCCAGAATTCCTCGACCTCGGCCACAAGCTCTTCAACACCACCCCGGCGACCTACCCCGTCCCCTTCCTCGCCGGCGACGCCCTTGACCCCGCCTTCCTCGCGCCGACGCACCCCTTCTACACCGCGCCCTACGCCCCGCCCCCGCGCTCTCCTCCCTCACGAACCTCACCCCGCTCCAAGGCCACGTCTCCGCGGTCTCCATCTGCTCCGTCTTCCACGTCTTCGACGAGCCCGGCCAGCTCGCGCTCGCGCGCGCCGTCGCCGGGCTGCTCGCGCCCCACCCCGGCGCCGTCGTCGTCGGCGTGCACTCGGGCCGCCCGGAGATGGGCACGTTCATCACCCGCGTCGGCGGCCGCGACGTCTCCACCTTCTACCACTCGCCCGACAGCTGGGAGGCGCTCTGGAACGGGGAGCTGTTCGTGAAGGGTTCGGTCAAGGTCGAGACGAGGCTCATCGAGACGGGCGGGTGGGACTTCCAGGACCGCGAGTCGGATCGCTACTGGTTCTTGGAGTGGTCGGTCACTCGTCTGTAGAGACGATTGGATTGAGGTGGTGCCCTTCAACAGTGGCGCGCTCCCCGTCTCAGTTTGAGTGATCCATGTCAATACATGTACTTAGCACACTCATTTGTTGTATCACACACAATAGCAATGTACACTCAACACCTGAGTTTGAGATCCGGATGCAGTTACTATAGCAATGTGCAAGAATACAGTCTACAGGCATCGAAAGGGCGGAATATACGTACAGACAAGCAACGCACACAACAACTCTAGCAACCACTCTCATCCTGGCCCCTTCTCATCCACCGCCCAACAATGGTGCCCGCACCCCGCAGCACACAACCGCGCGAGCACCACGTGCGCCGACGCGGGGCCTACGAGGCCCCTCGCGCTGCTGTAGCTGCCCGTCGTGCCCTCCCCATCACCCTCGTCCGACTCGCCCCCGTCCCCGGCCGTCGCCGAGTTCGCGCGTGACAACGCCCGCCCGCGTAGAGGCGGGTTCGCGTTCGGACTGAGCCCGAGCGCGACGACGTCGAGCGAGCGTCCCGGCCGGTGCAGCGCCTGCGGGAGTGGCGGCGGGATGGTCTCGTCCGGGGGGCGCCGGGTGTAGTACTTCCCGTAGCAGTCTTGGTGGCCGCCGTGCATGCAGACCGGACATTGGAACATGAGCGCGCGGACGGGGAGGTGGCTGGAGGGCGGGTGAGCGAACACAGTGACGGGCAATCGAAACGAAAGACGCACCAGATACTACACTTCGTGATGCTGGCTTGGCACCCTTTGCAGAACGAAAAGCTCCCTGAGGGACGGCCGGCATGGACAAGCGGCGCCGCTGGAAGCAGGATAGGCTTTCGGCACTTCTTGCACGTCGTGTACACGGTGGTGGACATCGTGGAGGTGGCACGGATGCTTCTACTGGCGCGAACTTGCGGATGTAGGCCGCACATGTGTGCAGACGCAGACGCGTCAGAATCTCTGCAGCTTCTGTCAGTGCCAGAGCGATGAAACTCAGGTCAAAAGCTGACCAATGTACGACTCGATGAACCGTGCGACCCGAGTCTTTACAACCTTGAGCTCTTTGGGCACGATCATGGACAGCATCGCGCACATGATAACATCGCCCTGCAGTCAGTCAGTCTTTCGGCTCGGACAGGAAATCACAGATCGGCACTCACCTCGTCTGCATACTGCTCGAAACGTTCTCGCATCGTCTCCCACGCCAACTCCCTCAGCCTTTCCTCCGCCTCGCGCACAGCCGCCTTCGTCCGCTCGCCCTGCGACCGCATCCCGCCCCCCTGCGCCTCCTCATACCCGTCGTCCTCTTCGCGGCCCGCAGTGCCAAACACGAACTCCCCCGAGACCGCGTCCGACTTTCCGCGCCGGTGCTGGTGCAGCGAGCGCACGCTCCCCACGCGCCCCGCCCCGTGCATCGGGAGCTCCCGCAGCGTCTCCTGCGCGCGCAGGTCCCCGCGGCCCAGCGTCCCCGACGGCGTCGACACCCCGTCCGTCGCGGTGACCGTCCGGATGCTGCTCTGGCTCTCCTGCTTCGTGACCCCGCGCCGGCCGCCCGCGGGCGACGGCGACGCCACGAACGACGCAACGGTCGAGCTCCGGCTCCGTGTCCGGCTCCGCGCGGATTCGCGGCGCACCATGCGCAGAGCGGAAGGGCGGCGCGAGGCTGCGAACCCGTCGTCCCCGTCGTCCGAGTCGTCCGAGGTCGAGCGAGGCGAGGGCGACGAGCTGTCGTCCTTCTCGTCCTCCGTCCACGTCTGCGGGCTCACTGCCAGTCGTGAGAGCGGGGACGGGTGCGCGATCGACGCGCGGTGCGTCAGACCCGGGTGCGGGAACGGCGAGCGCGAGCCGGAGGACGCGGGGGTGTGCGGGGGCTCGGACCCGTCTCCATCCTTGTCTTCATCGCCGTCGGGGTCATCGCCGTCTCCGTCCTCGCTGCCGCTCTCGTCCGAGTCGGAATCGTCGAGCGCGCCCTCGCCATATTGCTTGTGGCTCCCACGGACCCCTTCGCTCGTCGTTTCGCTCTGAGTGCTGTGGAAGCTTTGGGTCGAGAAAGATGGACGACGGAAGGAGGGAGGGAGGAGCGGCCGCAGGGGTGTGGGCAGACCCGCACCAGACTCACGCCGCGCGAATATCGCGGCAGGGACGCTGGGAAGGCCGATGCTGGATTTCCGGGGCGAGGATGCGTTTGAAGAGGTGGGTGTGGTGCCGTGGGCAGAACGATGACCCGAGGTCGAGCGACGCTGCTTTCCCTCAAGCGATCCAGGACTCCTATCTTTTCCGGAGGTGCTTGCACGGTGCGGAGCTGGGGTCTGTGGTACAGAATGCACTGTAGGAATAGCAGCCGGTGCGGAATTTGAGTGGGGAAGAGGCGGACTGGTGACGAACGGCAGAGGTGAGAGCGGCGGAGTGGGGGGAGGTATGATCTCTGTGAGGAGAGATTCGAGGAGGTACCAGGTCTGGGCAGCTTCCCAGGCCGCTGCTCGCTCGGCGACGATGCAATTGTGAGCGCATATAGCCGACTTGCTTTCTCCGGTGTACACATATCCTCGCGCAAGCTTGGCGATGGTGTCGAGATCCTCTGCAGCGCCATCGTGAACAAATGCGCCGACGTTCTGTGTTGTAGGACGATATCGGGGGTCGCCCAGCGTTTTGTGTGGGGTGTTGTCCTGTCGAGTGTCCGAGTCGCTGATCAACCTCGTCAACGTAAGATCATTTTCGATCGGGACCTACTCACACATCGTCGTACGGGATCTCCCATCGCCGAGGCTTGTCGGTCACAAACGCTATAGATCCTGTCGAATTCCACGATATCGCCGACCTGGGTATCGCATCGATTGGCCTCCGGGATTGTCGAGTGTCGAGCTGAGAAAACGTCCCCGAAGAGTGCAACGCCCACAGCGCATGCGAATCCGCGAACTCCAGGTCTACCGCACGGCCGATAGTGAGCAAAACGATCGTAGTTCAAAAAAAAAGGTCCCGCACCTGTGACGCTCCCCTCCGCAGCGGACCCGCCGACGATCCACTTTGCGATATACCCCCTACGCACGTCCCATATTTCGACCGGATCACTGTCGTCGGTGGACGCAGCGACCGACCGCGACCGTTCGTCAGGCGTGCGCGCACCGTCGAGCCCGCCCGCGAGATGCGTCGCTGAGATCCTCGGGCTGTGCATCATCGTCGAAAGGCTCCCACTCGACGAAGTCGGCCCAGAGAGCGCGCCGTGTCCAAAGTCCGAACCGCTGCCAAAGTCGGCGTTCGAGACGATCGCGAGCTCGCAATCGTACCCGGGGCGCCAGCAGACGCGACGGACGGGGAAGGATGCGTAGAGGGAGTAGGCAGGTTTGTACGCGGCGTGTCTTGTCGGCGCACTCGACAGGTCCCACACCTTTCGGGGCGAGAGGTCGGTTTGGAGGAGACACGATGGGGCAAAGAAGCGACGTACTTTGACACAGCGGTCCATTCCACCGCTCACGATCCATGCTGGTCCTGTGTTCTCCCCTTCTGGTGTAGTGGGTGGTCCACTTCCGATTGGCATAGACGGCATCATCTCCTCGAAGAATCCTCCGGGACCTCCGTACCAGGTGGAAGCACCACTCGGCCGTGGTGGTGTGGGGACCGCCAGTGAGGAAGGGGGTGCCCAATCCAAAGTCAATATAGGTCCTTGGTGTGCCACCGGTATACGGTCCAGCTGCCCACGCTGTCCCATCTTGAGATCCCATCTGAGAGGCGGGGGTCTTTGCTCGTGCTTGTATGCGTGCTGGCGAGAGAGAAACGCACCGATGTATGCTACCGTTTTCCAACGCGACGACAATATGCCGTGACTGCGACGAGACAGGAGAGAACGCGACTGCGCGCACGGGAGCGGGGTGATGTATGCGCATGATCGATTTGCTCAGATCTCGAATATCCTATGCCTCGTGAGCAAGTTATTTGTACATCCACAGTGGTCTGAGAGGCACAGAGAACTCACCCAAACTCGTACATCTCCATCCGCCGACCCAGACATGCAGTAAGACTGCAATATCGGGGAATATTGCAGGGCATGGATTGCCCGCGCGTGGTCACGTATTCGACGCTCTGTTCAGACGTTGTGAGACCCTCGTACGTGCGCAACGCGAAGAAAGCTTACCGTACTTGGACGACCCGCCCTTGTTCAAATCCCACATGATGAGCTCCCCGTTCCGCGCGCCGGTGAGGATTTTGTTGCTGAACGCTGCCGAAACCCCCGCGTCCGGCAGCCATCCCACGCATGGACAACATTGAACACTCACCGCCATGGCACCATACCACGTCCGTACTCGAGCTGTCGACCTTGAGCCCACTGCCCTCCCAGTAATTGCGAGACGCGTCAATGCGGTGGCCGCCGCGACCCGTGACGGACTTGTGCTCTGTCCCGCTCGGTGAGCTCAGCCCAGTCTCCGACATCCTCAGGATCCGCAGCGCTGTATAACCAGAGTATGTCCGTCAGATTCGCGCGACCAGAGTAGGCCCCACACCACAGAAGCCTGCGAAGCTTACATTCCCGCCCAGCTACAACGCACCGTGAAGGATCCTCGCCCTTCGCGATCGCGCCGCCCCCCGTGCTCGTCGCACGCGGAAGGCGGACGTGTCGCGTTGGGCCCCGGTAGCCGTGCTCGCGCGCGTCGGAGAAGACGTCGGGCAACTTCAGGTTGAAAGTACCGCTGCTGGATGTACCGTTTGTGACGGAGGCGCGACGCGAGGACCCGCCGGTACTGGAAAGGAGCATAGGAGGAGGAGGAGGAGGAGGAGGAGGAGGAGGAGGAGGAGGTTGGTGACTTCAGCTCCTCCAGCAGTGCCGCAACAGCGCTGGAAGTGATAGGAGGGAAAGGTGTGTGAAAGAGAGGATGTGTACTGGTGTAGCCGCATACAGCCAGTAAATTCCCTCCAGCCTCGTTTGCTGATATCTTTACGCAATAACTCCAAGGCCTGCATGCCGGTTGGGTGGGAAACGAGTTCGCCGGTTGAGATCCGAACGCGAAGAGCGATAATGGTGGTGAGAGACGAAAGAGCGGGTTGCTTAGACGCTCATCGCTCGGTAATTCCCCGCGGGTGGGGCAGTCCGTAAACGGCCCGCTCTTTTTGTCGGTCCCTGGAGTATGTCCGACTCTATCGTCGTTCTCGTTACGCTGTGACGCTTCAATTCCGACAAGCGCACTGCGTCCATCATAAAAATTGTCCACGGGGTTTCTAGCAGGCCCTACTTTGTCTAGCAGGCTTCAGTGATACCTTCAACATTGCAATCAACAGAAGGGTATGTCGTTAGCCCAGACTTCCTTGCAACATCCAATATTAAATTCAGATTTCTCAGTACACTCGCCAGAGTAAAGCCCTCCCTTTTCCATCGGTCTCGGATCTCATGTCCTTTCATTGCTCAGATATCCCAGTCATGAATGATGTGGTGATACACACGTCACCAATCAATACGCTCCCTACTGAAACCCTGCTCGCGACACTCAGCTTTGCACTCTCTGGCCATGAATCTCGTCCATCTATATCCATCGGCCCTGCGGAGCACTATGACGCACTTCTCCAGCACATGTTCGACGGCAAGACGTCGTACATCAACGCTCTGCTGACCCTCACTTCGATTTGTCGACGCTGGAGAGGGGTGATCCTCGCATATCCCCTCTTCTGGAACAACATCCAACACCACTCTCCTTTTCTTCACGAGCTGTTTCTTCAGCGTTCGTGTTCGACGACCATATCCCTCCATTTACGCACGTCCCTCGCGCAACAATCACATTCGACACAGAGCCTCGTGACCATGCTACCCGGCTTGGCTCAACGTTTGCGCCATCTATACCTGGAGATCGACGAAGGGACGGTGGACCCTGCAGACTTGCTGAATTTTCCTGCACCAGAAATCCAATGCCTCGTTGTTTCGATCAGCCTACCAAGATTGGACGTCGACAGTGCCACGACGGCCCACCCCATGGCGCTGTTCCAAAACAACGCGCCAAACCTGAGGGCTCTCGCTCTTCACGGACATTGGGGATGCATATCTCCCACGAATCATTTTCCTCACCTCACCCACCTCTTCCTCGTCTTCGGTGTCGAATGGCAAGTGCATAGTCCGGAACTACTCCTGGCCCTCCTCTCCCACACTCCGGCCCTTGAATCATTGCATCTGGCTGATATCATGGAAGAAAACTTTGCCTCCGACTTTCCTCCAGCAGAACATGAGTATGTCTCACTCAGACACCTCCGCACCATCACAGTTCAAATGTGTGATGTAGACTTCACTTGCGCACTGCTTTCGCGACTGGTCCTTTCTGAGGCGTCGATTCGCGCCGTTATCCAGGCCAACACTTTCCGAGGCTCCCACCCGATCCCACAGACCATCAAAGATATCCTTCGCCCATTTGTTCCTTGCCTCTCCCTCATGGGACCCACGCGTCTATGCATGCAGGACATCAGCGAATACGCGGCGATCTTGCTCGAATCCCACGACCGTTCGGCGCGCGGTCCCAGCGTCGTCATCGACCTCTACGACGCCGTGCGCCGCAGCGTGGATTGGCACCTCGCGCTCCTCGAGCTCCCGCGGGTCGTCCCGAGCGCGTTCGCCGCGCTCGTCTCCCTCCGAATCAATCGCAGCGAGTTCCACCTCCCCTTCACGCCCGCACTCCTCCAGCTGCTCGCGCACACGCCCGCGCTCACCGAGCTCTGCGTCAACTTCGGCTCGCCACACCAGACCCCCACCTCGCTCACCTACGCCAGCTCCCCCTTCCTCAAGTTCCTGGCCCCCTCGGCGCACCTCCCCCTCCCCCTCCCCCGCCTCACGGTCCTCGCTCTCGGCGCGCACTGCACCTCGATCGAGGCCACCGTTGCATTCGCGCGGCCGCTCAAGGCGACGCTCATCGCCCGCGCCGCCCGCGCCGCGCGCCTGCAGCTCCTCATCGTACGCCCGCTCATGGCGGCGTGGACCCCGCCGGAGGAGGGCGCGCCGCAGACGCCGGCGCAGGTGCTGTTCTCGGCGCAGACGCGGCTGCTCGACGAGCTCGACCTGGCGCCGCACGCAGACGAGGTCCGGGTGCTCGCGCCAGCGATGGTGGAGGGGGATGTGTTTGGGATGAAGGACTGGGCGGAGGGCGAGCCGGCGCGGTCGCGGTGGGAGGCGGCGGCGGCGGCGGGCGAGGAGGAGCGGGAGCGGTACTGGACGTTCGTTGAGGACGACAAGGTGCACTGCGAGTGTGAAACGCTTCTGTGAATGGGGTCTTCTGCGCGCTGGTAGGAGGGCCGGAGACTCGCAATCGCCTAGAGACGTTGATGCGGTCACGCGCGGCACACCTCGTACCATACCACCTCCGACCCGACACTCCCGCACCCTCCGCTACCAACACCCCCGCGCACCGTCACTGCCAGTTAGCGCCCACGCAACGCGCGTCGACACGCGCACTCCATGCCAGGCCGACCTCTGGAGCAAAGGAGGGTGGTAGCAGGTTACGGGGCGACTGTTACAGCGAGCAATGCAAGTCATTATATCTTACACGGAAACATAGGTGGAGTAGATAGTCCAAGAGTTCGCTGAAAGCACAAAAGAAAGCAAATTCACAGCACGAGAGCAGGCAACTCACTTCGACCTCTTCGCCTTCGGGCCCACCGGAACACCTCTCAGCCCAAACCACACCGGGACCATCTCCCACGCCTCCCTGCGCGCGCTCGCCACCGCGCCCGCAAAGTCCTCCTTGCACGCCCCGCATATCCGGAGCCCGCACTGGCGTGTGCCGTCGCTGAAGTCCGTCCGGCCGAGCATCTCGCTCGCCTGCGCCAGCGAGAACAGCGGGTCCGCGTCGCGCCCCGTCGCGATCCCGGACACCGCGCGGAGCAGGTTGAGCATGATGAAGTAGTAGCTCTCCCGGCAGTGGTGGCCGTCGCCGTGCGCCCGGTTCGCGCAGCCGGCCGAGATCGGGCGCGTCGCGAGCTCGCGGTCGATGAACGTGGCGAGGAAGCGCTGGCCCGCCTCGCGCCCGACGAACGTCGCGTGTAGGTCCGCGTGCGCGAGCCGGATGTTCGCCGGGGGCGCGGACGGCGGAGGGGCGGAGGTGACGGGGAGCGAGGGCGGCAGGGGCGACGCGCCGGCGGCGATCTTGCGCGGGCCGTAGCGCGAGAGGTCGTAGTACGCCGCGGGGAGGAGGTGGTCGAGCCGGAGCTCCTGTGCGAGACGGATGAGGTGCACCGGGTGCGGGAAGTGCTCGCGCGGGCTGTAGCGCATGTCCGCCGTCGCCTGCGCCTCCCGACAGTCCCAGCCGGGAAGCGCGGCGGGCCAGTCGGCCTCAAGCCGGCGGAGGCAGCGCGTCTGGAGGTGCTCGATGAGGTACTTGTACGACAGGCGGAGGACGGCGGAGAGGGCGCAGAAGTCGCCCGAGGATGGCCTCGGGAAGTACCTGCGCCGCAGGGTGAGTGTCGGAGGGTGCACGCGAGGGGAAGAGCAGACTCACAGGCCATCGTAAAGCGCGCGGAGGAGGTGGAGGAAGTCGGACGGGTCGTCGTGCAGCACGACCCAAGCGCACCCGTCTACGGTCTCGTCCATCGGCTGGGGGAGCGAGAACATGTCGCGGAAGATCTCGGAGTGGCGAATGAGCTGCCCGCGATGGACCTTGAACGCGACATCGCCGGCGAGGAGGACGATGTTGCCGTCCGTGAACCAAAAGTCCATCGTCTTGTAGTCGCGCATGTTGATGTAGGTGGTCATGGAGGGGGACGACGCTTCGAAGGCCTGAGAGCAGAAGGGAGGAGGCAAAGAAGGAATTCAAAGCGATCATGGCGAACACTAGTCTCGATAAGAATAGAGGCTAACAGGTCGTGCAGCGTTAGCCACCAACCGGATATCCAAAGCCGAGTTGGTTTGAACAGCACCTGACAGGCAGTTCGTACTATGTGCACCGTCGATCTTCCACATTCGGGCGAGAATACTCTCCGTCCGGCTAGCCTTGAACCCGTAGCGTCGTGCTGGTAAGGTATGTAGTAATCAGTAGCAACGAACTCTAACATAACGCTGTGATTAGTAAGCGCAATGAAATCATCTTGCTCTTGCGTTTTTCCTGGCAACTTTCCTGGCTTCTGGGCGTTCCGGCGCTGAGGTCGCTGCGTGATTTCAGTGCGGGGAAGTGGCGGGGAAGGCTGAGTAACGTTGACGCCAAGGGGGACGATGTGGTGCACGTGATGTGGGGTAAGGGGCCAGTTTCACATGCGCCGGTGCTGGAGAGCCCGGCTCTGCTCAAGCGGGCTGTCTCACATCATCCCCGACCCCCATCGTCCCTCCCTTAAAGGTCGCTCTCATCCCGCGTTCTTCTACCATATGTCCTCCATCACCCAGGCCCTCCAAAATCTCACCGGCATGTCTCCCAAGGCTCGCGCTCTCTCCCAAAACGACAATGACGTTGTCATCGTCGCCGCTGTCCGTTCTGCCATTACCAAGGTGCGTTTCATTCACCCCTCAGTGTCGAACATTGCGATGCGGGGTGGTGGGACGAGCGTCGGTTGTGCCAAGGTTTTATGCTCATCGGCTGGAAGGGTGGAAAGGCGCATATAGCCAGCGTCGTGCTAGGGGCCCAGGACGTCACCCTGCCCACTCTTGCTGCTTTTCTACGTTATGTATCACTCTGGGAATGGGTTACTGACGTGCCCTATCTTCTCAGGCGAAGAAGGGTGGTTTCAAGGACACCCGGCCTGAAGAGATCCTTTCCGGCGTCCTCAGCGCTGCCGTCAAGAAGTCGGGCATGAACCCCGCCCTCATTGGTGACATTGCTGTCGGTAACGTCCTTCCCCCCGGTGGAGGGGCGAGCGCGGCACGCATGGCTGCTCTCCACGCCGGCATCCCCAACACCGTCCCCATCTTCACTCTGAACCGGCAATGCGCATCGGGTCTCCAGGCGGTCAACATCATCGCTGGCGAGATCAACTCTGGCATGATTGACATTGGTATCGGTACGTCCTGTCACGCATTCTGTGGATTCCTGTATGCTCAATGACTGGGGTGAAGGTGCCGGTGTCGAGTCCATGACTTTCGGCTACGGCGGCAGTTCCATGCCTGACGGCTTCTCGGAGAAGGTGCTCGCGTGCCAAGAGTCCGAAGACTGCCTCATTCCCATGGGCATCACTTCGGAGAACGTCGCCACCGACTACGGCATCTCGCGCCAGGTGCAGGACGAGTTCGCGGCCAAGTCCTTCCAGAAGGCCGCTGCCGCGCAGAAGGCGGGCAAGTTCAAGGACGAGATCGTGCCGCTCAAGGTCAAGGTCATTGACCCGAAGACGGAGAAGGAGATGGATGTCGTCGTCGCGCACGACGACGGTGTCCGGGACGGTGTTACCCCTGAGTCGCTTGGGAAGCTCAAGCCCGCGTTCAAGAAGGACGGTTCGACGCACGCGGGTGAGTAGACCCCTTCACTTGCCCTGTTGCCCTTTCCTTGCGGTTCTCAACGCGATTCCATTGCTTCTAGGTAACGCGTCACAGGTCTCAGACGGCGCGGCGGCGGTCATCCTTGCGCGCCGTTCGGTGGCGAAGAAGCTCGGGCTCCCCATCCTCGGCAAGTTCGTTCTCGCGGCGGCCGTCGGTGTGCCCCCGCGTATCATGGGTGTCGGCCCCGCGTTCGCGATCCCCAAGGTGCTCGAGCTCACCGGCCTCACGAAGGACGAGATCGACTTCTACGAGATCAACGAGGCGTTTGCGAGCCAGGCCGTGTACTCGGTTATGAAGGTCGGCATCCCCTTCGAGAAGGTCAACGTCAACGGTGGTGCGATCGCCATGGGACACCCTCTTGGCTGCAGTGAGTGCTCATTCGGAGCCTACGAGCGGGCAGGGGCTTACATCATGTTACAGCCGGTGCAAGGCAAGTCGCCACTGGTCTCAACATCGCCAGGCAGACGGGCGGCAAGATCTTCTGCACGAGCATGTGCATTGGCTCCGGCATGGGTATGGCGGCTGTGTTCGTCAGCGAGCAGTGAGCCTGGCACGGTTCGGCGCACCCTTTGGTTCTTGTCTGCGTCTGGATAGGTGTATCGCTGTACAACGTGTAGTGTAGTAATTTTCTGCTTATGACACTCATAATGAACCGTCGCACCTAGGTTTATGGCCGACGGCGAAGGAATAACGGTGAATCGCATGAGCCTGAAAATGTTCGATGTATGTCTGCATATATGGATATTGTAAGGACACCATGATGATGCGAAGGGGACGATACGGAGGAGGAATAATACAACATGGGCCGAGCTATAACGAGCATACATTACATTCCGCAAACATCATAGTCATAAACTCGATCGTAAAGGTCATGTCTCGTGAAAGTGCGCTCACTAACCGCTGCGCACGGACCCATCGCGCGAGCGATGCTGCGACGGCGTCCGGCGGGGCGAAGTCGCTCGCGACGGAATGACCGGGATCGGCGACGGCCGCGGCGACCGCGCGCGATGGCCCCCGTGCGCCCCCGGCGGCACAGCGGGCAGCAGCCCCGGCGGCGGGCCCATCATCATGTACACCGGGACCGCCTGGGGCGGGCCCATCGCGCCGACGCCCACCGCGGCCGCGGCGGAGCTGCTGCTCGACGTGTCCGAGCCCGTGCCGTCCCCGCGCGGCAGCGGCTGGTGGGCTGGGGCGACGCCATCGGGACGGGTAGACGTACAGCGGCTGCGGGGGCGAGAAGTAGTACGAGTACGACATCATGTGCTGGCCCTGCCCGTGCGAGGACGCGCCCGGGGAGGACACCATCCCGGGCGAGGTCATGTAGCTCCGAGGGGCTGCGCTCGGCGGGGACGGCGTGCGGCCGGAGCGCCGCGAGCGCACGCTCGGGGTGAGGTGCCGTGAGGTGCCGCGCGCTGCATGGCGCGTGCGTGCGACGCGGACCCGCCGGGGGCGAGCAGGTCGACGTCTGGAGGCGTCCGTTGGTGCGGTGTACACGAGAGCGGGGCTTGTTCTTGCCGGTGTGGGGCGCTTGGAGCGCGCGGGATGTAGTCGAGGCGACGCGGTCGCTCGTCCAGGGAGGTCTGGAGCGCACGGACAAAGTGCTGGACGCGCGTGACGTGCGCGGAGAAGGAGTCGTCGCGCGGGGGCGGAACCGGATCGGGACGGCATCTTGCGTAGTCGTTCGACGGCTGGAGTCGGGGCACCGGCATGTCCGCGCTGAAGAAGCGCGGCGAGGCGCGATCGACTCGGACTGGATCGTCTGCGGCGGGAGCTGCCGGCGTTGGAGAGGTAAGAGATCGGGATGGAGGTGCGCCGGCTCGGCTGGGACGTGCGCCGGCTGGCGTGGCTTGACTGGCGTTGGGGATCGGCGTATGACACTGTGTGGGGACTTGGGTGCGCCGGGGGTCAAGATGGCGGGGATGTACCGGCCAGCGGATGGCCTGGGCGAGCGGGGTCGACTCGTGGTACGCCGGGGGAAGGAAGTGGGAAACGCCAGTAGCTGCTCCATCCGGGCGCACCTTTCTCGTCGGCTGCGGTCGTAGAAGTTGCTCCGCACCATCGCCTCCGGAAGTTCTTCAGCCAGCACGAATCGCCATAAACTTCCTCGTCCGACTCTTTGGTTCTCGGTTTCTCCTCTTCGTCCATGGGTACAGCGGAGTGACTGCAGGCCAGCGTATGGGTCTCGGGATGATTGGGGTTGCGCGTTTCCAGTGTCGACGTATCGTAGTCGTCTGCCGATGGTCATGTTCTCTCTGCGTCCATTCCGCTCTTCTCTCGGCCTGGTCGACGGCGGTCTGGATACGAGTTGTGTCATGTTCGGACTGGCTCGGACCAGTCGGAGGGAGGTCGGTGGACAGGTTGGAAGTCGAGAAGCGGCGATGGGGGACTGAGGAGGGTAGGGGAGGGGTGCGACCCGGGACGACGGAGGGCGCGTAGGAATGGGGACGGGCGAGAGCATTCCTGCGAGACCCAGCTGGGCGCAGTGCTGTTCGGCTGTAGCGAGGCGTGCGCCGTATGCTTTGAAGCCGGCAGCGCTCTGGCGGGGATACTGGGGGCATCGGGGTAGAGACTCGTTCGGCGGGCGAGCGGTATGCTCGTTAGGATAGTCGGCATGGTGGAAAGAGGGGGGCGGGGCAGAGTGAGGAGGAGGCACTCAAGCGAGGACGGCGAGTGGAGTATATGCGTAGCGTCACATTGAGCAGAGGGGCAACGAGGCGGCGGATCTCCGGGAGAAGCTGCGAAAAACATGCGACCACCGAGGGCTTAGGAACGTCGACAACACACTATTCACGCACCAGGACTCGACGTCAACATTAAGAGGCTCTTCCATATGGTCGTGCCCATGCCCATGCACAGTTATATGGAAGTACCTCGTCTTTCGCGCACAAAGGAAGCATGTTGACGCCGAACTCCTTAGTCGATGGAAAGCTCGCAAGCAGGGGAAGAAAAACATGAGCACAAACAAAGGTTACGAAAGGTGGCGGCTTCACGAGGAATGCGCTATGGTCCCATGGTCTTAAGATGCAGCAAGGGTCAGGATTCATCGGCCCAATGGTCTAGTAGTATGATTCGCCCTTCGGGTGTTCCGTCTGGGGTTCCAGATCACGTGGGCGAGTCTCGGGTTCAATTCCCGATTGGGCCCTTTTTTTTTCTTTTTCGCCATCGACGCGGATCTCCAATCAATTGGATCACTCTCTGTCTTTCTGCGAGATATCTGACTATTTCTGTTCACTGCACTGTGTCCCTTCATCCCAACTTCGACAATCAATGTCGTTCTGGACGGAAAGATAGAACTAAACCTTGCTCAATCATCGCAATACGTCGAGGACTTCAAAGATACAATCGCCCACCGCAGCCTTTGCATGTTCGCCGTTCAACATCGACGCCTCCGTGATATACCATGTATCCTAATGACATGTGAAAGGCCTATGCCAGAACC